TATATTTAGCAGCTGGCCAAAGACATAATACTACTTCCTTCAGCATAATCTGACGAAAATATGAATTTGAATTTCAGAGTTGACCATGGCAGGGAGAAGGTAAGAGAAAGGGCAAGGGTAGAAGGTGGTGGAAGAGGGAAGGAGGAGCCCTATGGGGGCAGAGACCTTCTCTGACTCGTTTATTGCTTTATCCCTAAGCATGCAGTATCATCTCTGACACACAGTAGGTGTAAACAGTCACTATGTAGAATTAACATTTATTACAACCTGTCAGGCACCAAAATTTTCACATTTCTTATGGTAGCTAATCCTCTCAAGAGTCCTATGAAATCAGTATTATTATTATCCTTAATTTACAATATCTATATGTTGTGCTGACACAAAATAACCTACCAATGGCTTAGTATGAAAGGAAAATGAATAGTAAAAATTATGTTCATAATCATCTAGTTTTAACTCATTTCAAATAAAATGAAAAGAGATGACTGGAAGTTACTGAATGACTCATTTCAAATAAAATGAAAAGAGAGATGACCAGTAAGTTATCATATGAGTAACAGCATATGAGTTTTGCAGATAGTCTGTTTAGTGACTGTCATAGGACCCACCGTGAAGCTTTCATAACTAAGCATGATACTAACTCTCCATATGCGTTGCATTTGAGGATTTAGAAAGCAACATGGGGAAAGGTGAACCAGGTAGACTGGTATTTAAAAAAATAAAAACACGAAACAGCAGCAATACCTACCACTATTAGCCATCACCAGCAAGGTGTCAAGTCACTGAATACAATTCAACTAAATCAGGAAAAATGGATTACCTTGTGTGTTTATTTTAAAGTTTTGGCTGATCTTGAGAGGAATGAAAAAGGGATTTGCTTGTTTCAATGTAGCTCAAACTTATATGCAAATAAAACTCTGATACTGCACTACACATTTATAGTCAAAGACAATACTTTGTTTTTAAGAGGAGCAGTACACAATGTAACTGCAAATGAATGTCACACACACAAAAAGGAGCCAGACAATGTTAAGCTCCAATGAAGAATTTCGGGAATTACAAGCTGTATTGTAAAAATCACTGTCAAACATGTTTGTCTCCATTGTTCGTGATTCCCCTTAAGACTGAAAATGCTCTCTTCCCTGCGGCTCCGCTCCCTCTGTCGTTTTATCCTTTTCCACTGCTTACTACCACTCATGTGAAATTACTCCTGCGTGTATGTGTGTGTGTGTGTTTGTGTGTGTCTGTGTTTGTACAGGAATGGCAGAATTTGGACGTCTCTCCCTCAAAAATTTAAACAAAAAATGAACTCTAGGACAGGACAGGGATTGGTGGCGTTTTTTAATGGGTGGATCTTGAGGAGACCCGGGAATAGGAGCTATATAAATAAGAGACCAGTAGGGTGGCATTCATTTGTTTATTTAGTAAACAGAAAATTACTGAGTACCTAACTAAGATGAGGCATTGTGCTAAGTAGTGGACATCCGGAAAAGTGAAAGATGTGAGAGTTGATTGACAGGTATGATAGGAAATTACAGTTCATTGAAAGGTAAATTTTTGTTTTGAAACCTAAACCCCATAGCTAAATGGATCCAAGAATTTAACAAATATTTATTCAGTTCTGTTGATGATCTTCCCCTTGAAATATTCTTTCGCTAAACTTCATAGCACTATGTGTTCCTGAAATTATTTCCTTTATGTCTTAGATTCCTTTGCAAGATTTTCATTTTCATCCTTAGCCTGTTGTTTAAATGTTGGTGTTTCCTAGGGTTCTGGCCTAGGATTTCATTTCTCCTCATTCTAAATACTTCCCCTGGGAGTTCACATTCGCTATATGACTTTTAGTATCATTCCTATGATATGGACAACAGATATGATGGCATCAAATTCTGCATGTTCAGATCAAACACCTTCTGAGCTCCAGACTCATATGAACCAACCTTAACATTACCTCCTGGACATTTCAAAATATCAAAAACTGAACGGATCAACTTCCTCCTATATCACTGACGAGCACAACTATCTGTGAAGCTGCTGAATCGAGAAACCCAAGCATCATTCTTAACTCCTTCCCTTTTACTTCCTAACAACCAGTCTCAAAGTTCCACGGACTTCATATTCTAAAACATAGTAAGAAGTCACCCACTCCTCTTCATGCTCTCTGATGCCACCCAATCCAGGTCACCATCATCTCTTGCCGAGAGTCTCACAAACATCTGCTTAATTGGTCTCCCTGGTTTCAATCTTGCCTGCCTCTAATTATTTTTCACGTTACAGCCAGGTATCTCTTTAAAATGCAGACTTACCATATTGTTCTCTTATTTCAAACCCTTTTCCAATTTCTCATATACTGAAGGTAAAGTCCAAACTCCTCCACAAGGTCTTTTAGACCTCCATTTACTTAAAAAGTTCTCGTTTTGCTGCCCCTCTCTCAGATGCTATATTCCAATATACTGAACTTTTCAGTTCCTTAGACATGAAACTGCGCTCTTTTACCCTAGGCCTTCCCCTATCCTTTCCACTGCTGAAAACTTTTATCTTCACTCTAAACTTGCCTAGCTAACTCCTAGTTATCACTCCAACATTGTCTTTCTCTGGGAAGCCTACTTGGATTGCCACCCCACTCCAGTTTAACCTACCTCAACTGTACTTAATTCCCTTTCAGTTCTGTCAACCTACACTTACCTATGACAAACAAGGACAGATGTTCTTATGATATGTTCCCACAGTCACTTATACTTTTCCTTTAATATGATTTTTGAGCATTTTATTATAAAAACTGATTTTTATAGTCTCCACTAATTGTAACATAGAGGGCAAGAAGCCATCCAGTATACACAGCTTACCTTTGTATCCCTAGCACCTAGTACAGTGGTGTGCACAGAATTGGTGATGGTAAGTGTTTGTTCAATGAGTAAATAGAGTACCTCATTTATAGGAAATTGTAAAGGGTTTAGAGCTAAATAAAATACCCCCTACCCCTAAGGGGAATAGCATAAAATGCAGAATGTCTGTTATACGTAATTATAAGATGATAATGAGTAAATAAAATTGACTCCAATTTGGATACATGAGGATGTGCTAACATTGTAAATTGGAATTAAATATTTAGCTCTCCCTTCTGGGATCATCCAATCCACACTAAACACTTCCAGAAGACAATTTTATGATTTTCTATTACAGATGAGAAAACAGGCACAGCAAAGTCAATTGAGTTCTCCAAGGTTACCCAGTGAATCAGAAACAGAGCCAAGTACTATTGTGTCATTGTAGGATTTCAGCCTGTATACTTGAATAGTATTCTCCAAACTATCATCTCTGATATTCATATGTGAATACAGAAATCAGGAATATAGGCACTTTTCCAAGGATTTTCCTCTAACCTTTAACATTAAAGGCTTTCTGTGATATGCTTCTGTACTCTTGTACATTCCGAGAGTTCCTTCTGTATTCATAATAGAGTGTTAATATCAGGCACCAGTTACCACTACAAAGTGTCAACATTTAACTCTTCTGCTCTGGGACATCAAATTACACATTCTCCAACTATAAATGTCCATAGCTAGTTGGCTGGTGCATTCTATTGCACTGGATGGACATTTCAGTAGAAAATGCTGCCAGTATTTAATAAACATTTGAGAAGCAACATAGGCTATTAAATTTAATGAGATTACTAGTTCCAACATTTGTACTGTGAAAGAAAAAATTACTTGTGCTGCCATTTCAAAAGGCCAGATATACACTTAATAAGTATGTTTATATATGTTATTCTGGGTAAACACAACACATAACCACAATGCCTAAAAAGACTTTCTCAATATACACATTTAGTGTACAAAGAGCTACGCTTTTTGTAACAAGCAGCATTGCTGATACTAGTTTCACAGAGATAGGCAGGTCAAGTATACACTTGAGATTCTTCCTAGCCCCAGACTGGACCAACCAATGCTCTTTTTTTTTTAAACATATATATACCTGAATATAGTACAAGATGTTAAAATAATCTAATCTGTACAAAACCGCAGTTAACATGTACCATTTTTATTAGATGTATAAACTATGCTTCCTCTGCATTTTCAGATCAATTATATAATTTTCTCTTAATGGATATACCATCAAGTAGAAGAATCCCCAATCAAAGAACATTTCCCTTGCTCTTTGGACTTTATGTGGCCTATCTTTCATTTGCCAAAAGCAAAAATCTTTACCCTTAAAGCACTCAAACCAGCTCATTACATCACTCTCCAGTCTTGCCTTGTAGCTCCAGGCCAATGAAGAACTCTAAATGTCCAAAGTATTTACTGTTCTTAATCCCCAACGTGACATTAAGTGAATTGGTTCTGTCATGGGAATATAACTGATTATGTTCCCCCTAATAAAGACAGATACTTGAGTTAGCCATTTGTAAGTTAGCCCAATGTGAAGGGAAGAGAGAACTTCTGTCAGATGTCAACTTAACATCCATTGCTCACGGAAGTGTCAATTAAAATTCGAGTGGAATCTTTCTAACACAATTTTCCAGCCCAAGAAATGTGAATAAACCTCTACTGAATTGAAAGGCTGTATAAGGCAATCTTAAGCTCTATTTATGTGTTAATTGGTTGGTCATTGGTAGATGACACCCATGGGGTCAGAATACTTTTGACTTTCACTTGAAAATGTAGATTCCATGAATTCATCCTCATTCATCAGTCCTGTTTTGAGGGAAATGACTATGAAGGCATACTGTCTTCATTTCTTAATGCTGCAGTTCCTGTTATGCTATACCAAGGAATAAAATTTCCTATCAAAAGTAGCATAGATGCTGATTTGGCTTCCTGCTTTAGATCACTGCACTCAGAAGCACTGATCTAAAGGAAGCAAATTCCAACTTTATAGTTCTGACATTGTCCTTGTCACCCCATTTGCTATACCAGCATGAATGTGACAACAATAAAGGATAAAAGAGCAGAAAACAAATGTTTTCATACCAAGGAGTCTTGCCCTATTTAAGAATTTACCTGCAGAGATCCCATTTCTTCATCTTTTCTTTGGGTCTCTTCTAGTAGATCTGTAATAAGAAAGTAAAATATCCATCAAAATACAATGTAAAAATGAGTTGCCTCTTATTATTAAATGCAGTTCAGCCAGTAGCTTGTATAAACTGTTGCCTGAGAAGAGAATTGGATGTTGAAGTGTGAGAAGCAATGTAAAAGAAACACCCTCTAATCCCAACTGATGACATGCAGAGCGCTGGAGCCTGCCAACTCCAAGCTAGCTGAGAAGCCCTGGGACGTCTCTCAGCTCTACCTGACATACCAAAGGATAATAGTAAATCAATTAAAAATCTGTAATCATACCAATATTTTAGGAATTTTGGTCTCATGCTTGTATAACTAAACACTACATAAAATTTACTTTAGAAAAAAAAGAAAAGCCTTTTTCTTTTGAAAGAAAAATTAGAAACAAACCATTTGCCCTTAAAATAAGCTCCCAAGTCAAGTTCCGCCCCTAGAGTCAATTTTTATAACCAAATTAAAACACCTTGGAATAATAAGTGTTATTAATGGAAGTGGAACACCACCTCATCCATAAAGTCTTATTAATTGTTGTTTCACATTGAGAGGGTGGGATGCATTGAAGATACATTTGACTAAGAGTTTGGCACCATCCCACAGAAATTAGTGGTTGGAAGGGAAGGTCGTCAACTGAAGAGAGCTCTGTCTTAATGCATGTATACAGCCATGGTGTCTCAGTGCCCTACATTAATTTATGAACTTGTTATTAAGAAAACATATTTTCTGCCTGCAGCTATACCACCTTGTGCTATGATCTTATTATATCTCACAAACCTAAAGAGGACTAGGTTGAGTCAGAACTTGGATGAAAACTGGCAAGAAACACCTACAGCAGTGTATATTAATATGAGTATTTGCCTTACTGTCTCTTTGATATAGCTTACCAAGAGGCTGTTACATAAAAGGAAAACATAAATTAGAGAAGCCTAATATGTATCCCAGAAAGGCAAACTCAAATGTTTTAGCAAGTGCTATACTAGATATAGCAGGAAACAGTCATATAGTAGAGTGACAAAGTCATGCTGGTGTGTTGTAACTGTGTGTACACCAAAATTTCAGGAGACCTGGCAGATGACAGAACTGATGGTAATGACCCTTTGAGGCCGCACAGCTAAGAGGGTTACAGACGAGAGGTAAGCAATCTCCCGAAGACACAATATGCTGGGATTAAGGATAAGAGATTGTTTCTATTTTCTATGCTGTAGAGGAACTGACTTGGCTCCCAAAACCTCCTATAATCAGGTACATCAAAAAGTAAAAAGAGCAGGCCAGTGTTTTAGCGTGTATTTTTAAAGAGGTTTTGATTGGCATATCAGGTTCTTTAGCTATAAGATACAGAAACCAACTTGGGGTATGGAAGATTGTTTAAGTGCCCTCAATCATTCCTCTTCCTGCATCCTCACTCATTTGCATTGCAGTTTTGTAGCTACTTCCATCAAGAGGCCATGCACATCTGCTTCACTTCTTGCATCTGGGCTGGCCTCCTGACTTGATTTGGTGAGTACAATATAGCTGAGGTAACTCTGTTTCAGTCTGGACTGAGGCTTTAAGAGACCTCAGACATTTCCACTTTTTCACTTGGAACCCTGTCACTGACATCTGAATAGGCCCAGGCCAATCTGCTAGATGACAACAGACACATGGTCTAGGACTCTTCCCACCTCTGTCACCCTGCAGGTTGCCCCAGCTACCAGCCAGCAAATGCCCAGAAGCAGAGTTGCCCAGTCGATCTCAGGATGACTACAGATGACTGAGATGGAAACCCAACTGAGACCAGACAAACTACCCAGCTGAGCCCAGTGTCAACTCCAACTCACAGAACCAAGAACTAAATAAATGGAATTCTGGAGTGGTTTGGTACCTGGGACTTGCCAACTGATAGCAATGAGTTGCTAATTGAATAACATGTACTTAGAAGTTATTAGAAGGATATAGAGGTAACAAATAGATATACTGGAAAAGAGGATCCCAAATCTGAAGGGAGTAACAACTAGAGCAGGTCTGGCTGGGTCGAGATGTGGGCAGGATGAGCTGATGAGCTAATGAGTATTTTATTCTGGGTTCCTCTAAACTTTATGTCATTCTACTCAAGATGAAACTGCATGAAGAGAACAGCTACTGAGCCTAGCTTAGATCTCTTGCCTACTGCTTGGCTAGGGGAAAGTATGGAGTACTTTCATTGATAATCCCAAAAGGAGTGGACTAAGAATAGAAAGAATAGTTTCCAAATGCAAAATTAGGGTTCTGTAACAGAAGGAACAACGGACATCAGGCAGGCCAACAAAACAGAGTTCTACACCACCTGGTTTCAGTAAACTGTGTCCTTACCCCAACTCTCTTCAATATTTGTGAGATATAAGATCACTGCTGTGTTCCTATGAGGATGTGGCTACTTAGCTCCATTATTTCTGGATATTAGGAGGTTCTCAGAGCTGGGCCCTTTGTAATGAATTACATTGTTTAATGGTGCAGTGTAACTGGAGTAATACATAGTGGGGTTCATCAATCACAAAAGAAAACTAATCTTGTTCCTCCAGAGTCAATTTAGTATGGCAACTCCAAACACCTTAGATAAAACTTACTGGATCAATAATGAGTATCAGATCTTTCATGCAGCCAAACACAACTCACTCATCTGATAAAATATAGATGGAAAGAAGTCCAGTCTACTCACAGAACCTCATAAAATTATAGGAACTTAAAAATTATGTTCTCAGTTTTCTCCAAATACATACGGGTCATACTACTCTTCTGACAAATCTGATGCCAATGACAATGCTTGATTTGGGATAGCTGAATAAAAACAACCAAAGAATTCCTAGAATTGGCATTTTAAATATATACATTTTAAATTTTAAATAAATATTCTCCCTGACTGGCCATCTTGTATAAACGGTATAAGCAGACATCTGTTTTGGGTTTTCTTTTTTTTTTTTTCTTTGTGCCACATATCTTTCCTTTGATAACTCCTGTTCTTCTTTTCCATGTGATTTCCATGAAACTTTTGGTCAAGAGGCCTAACTAACCTTTCCTGCTGTAGGTCATGGCCCAGGCTAGCAAGTCAGAGCATCTTATCCCCCTGAACATATGAGCTAAGCAACACCAGAGGTGTCCTATTAGAGGATTAATATGGATACCAGGAGAGAAATTTTTTCCTTCTGAAGCCACAGCTTATATTACCCTGGCGTTTCGAAGTCTGTATTTTCTACTATGTTGAAGAAACTTATTAAGCAATGAGGCCGGCAAAGAAGAAATAAGAGCCAAGAAACAGAATTGCTTGAGGACTACATCCACCCTTGACTGAAGCCCACAAACCTCCTGGACTTTCAATACATAATTCTTCTTCTATTCTTTTTCTTAAATTAGCTTTTGTTGGATTATTGCCATTTTTTAAAGTCTCCAGGGATGTGGTTGTATTGAACCTTCTTATCTCTATTCAGAAACCTAGAGAACTTAAGAGTTGAGAAGAACTTTCTAGTCCACCTTAAAATGTTTCATCCTACAACAAATATATGAAGACATGAGACTCAAAGAAATGCAGGTGGTTTGGCTGAGATCACCTAGTTAGTACAAAGTCACTTCTAGAGCTTTGCTCTCCTATCATCCTGCTCTGTTTAATCATGCTCGCATTTGTACCTCTCAATACTTAATTGCACCCTTCTTCATTCTGACATAAAAATAAAATACACACTTGTCTGTATTCTTCTGACCTGCTTTAAAAGTTCTCTGACATCAAGTCAACAATCAGGGCCCCCATGACTTTTTTTTTTCTTTCTTTCTTCAGACAGTGTCTCCTCTGATGCCCAAGCTGGAGTACAGTGGCGTAATCTCGGCTCACTGCAACCTCCACCTCCTGGGTTCAAGCGATTCTCCCGTCTCAGCCTCCTGAGTAGCTGGGATTGCAGGCACCACAGCCAACACGCTGTGCTACTTTTTATATTTTTCGTAGAGACGGGGTTTCACCATGTTGGATGGACTGGTCTTGAACTCCTGATCTCAAGTGATCCGCCCGCCTTGGCCTCCCAAAGTGCTGAGATTACAGGTGTGAGCCACTGCCTCTGGCCCATCCATATTTTACATCCATGTTCTCCTTAACTACTGCCTTTCTATGTTTGATATTTAACTTATATCCCCAAAATTGCTCACTCCACCTACACCATTGTTGTATGCCACTGTTCACTCGTTAGGTGCATTGTTCAAGCACATGCATTTGGAATGATGAACAGGGTTATTAACCTGTGCTGATGAAATATGGTTACTGGGCATTGGTGAGAAGCACCACTCTACTGCAAACAGACAAAACACGAGAGAATATAGGTGAGACCCCTAGATAGTTAAAGTGACTTAATACTGTGATAACTGACTGTGATTAGTATCCCTCATTATAATGAACAATCTTGTTGTTTGTTCTTATCAGCATGGAAAGAGCTGAAGGGCTGCTCTGCTCCCTTGCTCACCACTGACATGTTCGTGTTTTCTTTTATTATTCTCTGTTTTGCTGTTCCATACAAATAGCAACTCAACTACTATGCAAGTTGCTGTGGTGAAATTTGCTTCCATCAACACTAGTTAATGAAAGACCTTTGGTAAAAAGGACAGTAGTCCTGTGTATTTTCCTTGGATTGGTTCCTTTTTCCTTTTTTTTGAGACACAGTCTTGCTCTGTCGCCCAGGCTGGAGTGCAGTGGCGCGATCTCGGCTCACTGCAAGCTCCACCTCCCAGGTTCACATCATTCTCCGGCTTCAGCCTCCCGAGTAGCTGGGACTACAGGTGCCCACCACCATGCCCGGCTAATTTTTTGTATTTTTTAGTAGGGAAAGGGTTTCACCGTGTTAGCCAAGATGGTCTCGATCTCCTGACCTTGTGATCTGCCCGCCTCGGCCTCCCAAAGTGCTGGGATTACAGGCATGAGCCACCGCACCCGGCCCCAATTTTTTAAATGAGCTGATACTCACTCATTATGACATAAAGTCATTAGAGGGAGAAAAAGCCA